TTTGTGGTAGTTTTGTGTTATGGCTCCTTAATATTTCTGTTTGGTTATACTGCATGTCATTTCGTGTCTCCTTGTGTTGGTTTAGCATCGTGTTGTTGTCGCTTTTGTGGCTTGTTGCAGGTGTTCAGTCGTTGTCGTCATGTGTCGCCCTTTCACATTAGTTTGTGTCTCTTTGTGGTTGATTTGTGTTACTGTGAAGGTATTTGGAATCCTTTTATAGACATTTTGTGTGTTTTCGTTGTTGCGTTTTGGACACGTTGAAGTTTTTTGCTGCCGTTTTCCATTTCTTGGGAGTTCTTTGGCATCTTCTTGTTGTCATTTTGTGTCTCTTTGTGCATTTTGCAGTGGTTTAGCCTCCGTCTGCAGCCTGTTGCCACATCGAGTTGTTCACTGCAGCTGTTGTGTGTCTTTGTGCTTGTTTTGTGTCTGTTGTCGTTGGACTCTAACTCCCTCTTTGTGATCATTTTCAGCCTCCTTTGTGTCTCGCTGTCGTTGCTTTTTTGGACACCGTCTTTGGCCTCGAGCTCCTCCGACCCGGTTTGGTCTCAGTCGGTCGTCTTGACTAAATCCGTCGGCTGCAGCTCCGTTTCTACGCCTTTGTGTATTTTTACTACACAGTTTGAGCGGCTGTATCGCTCGTCATTAGTTGTACGCTGTGTTTTAGAGGCGGTTTTGATTTTTATTGGATTATTATGACAGATTATTTTCTAAAACGTTCGTATGTTTGGACAAACCTGAAAGTAAAGATTTCACTAAAAGTTTTCCTTCATCCAACGTTGGACTTCTGAACCCGATGAAGCTGGGTTCACTGTGTTCTGGTGCATTGCTGGTTCCCTTCGCTGCAGGTTTTGTCCACTTGCTTCTGGCCTTCCCACATTTAAATCCTGTTAGTGTGGCGCCACCCAGAGGCCTGGACGGGACCTGCAGGGCGACGGAGGTTTCCTGAGGACAGGCGCTGTTTTCATCCCCCTGATGGAAACACTCGGGCGTGATGAAGCGTTTCATCGCCGAGTCGGATCAGACGGAGGACGAGACGCCTTTGTTCTCCTGCCGGATCAGAGGAAGCACACGAGAAACGCCGCTTGATTTGATTTCAGTCGTCGGTGATGGAGACACCGGATTCAGCTTCGGTCTGGAAAATGAAAATATCTCAACAAAGAATTCAGAGTCGGGAGTCACTCCATGAATCATCGACCATCAGTTCTCCTCACAATCAGCTTCTACAATAACTTCAGTTTAAGGAAGCAAAGTTTCACCTTCATACTGTGAATATTTTCAGAGTTAAAGGACCGTTAGCTTTATCTTTTTTCAAACTCAAAATTCACACATTGTTCTATAAATACAGCAAAGAGTTGATTATTTACACATTAAACAACATTATCCGCACTGTGACGTGTTTCTGTGCAACTGGGGACTTTAAACCCAGTATTTACTCTCTTTTAGCTCCATTTTTGGTCTCCACCACCTCCCAAAGAAAACGTATAAATGTTTAGAAGCTAAATTCTGCAACAACAACACAAATCAGGTAGTAAATTGTGAGTTTATAAGTCTTCTCCTCTGAAACAGCGCCTTTGTCTGGAAAAAAACACACACACAAGCAATAAGCAAGACGCAAAACAATAAAGTTTAAATCTGGGTGGCTAAACAATGAGCTGGAAGATGCTAAAATGAACTTTGCTAATGATTATATAGAACGAAAACTAAATTAATTGATAACTGCTATGTGTTATCCTTACCTCTATGCAGCATTTTAGCAACTTTGACAGAATATATCAAATCATTGATGTCAAAGAGACAGATTTTGTTCTCGGTATCTGGTGGAGGAGACCAAAAATGGAGCTAAAAGAGAGCCGATACTGGATTTATGGATGTCATGGTAACTAGTCGATGGGAAAAAAATAAAAATGTTAGAAAATGTTTTTGTTTTGTTTTTTAAATAAAGCAAAACGTTGCTTATCTACACATTCAGCAGACATTCAGCAACATTATCCGCACAGTGAAGTTGTGTTCAGTGCACCTGGTGACTTTAAATCCAGTATTTACTCTCTTTTAGCTCCGTTTTTGGTCTCCACCACCTCCTACAGACAATACGTCACTGTTTAGGAGCTAAATTCTGCAAAAAACAAACTTCGTCTGGAATAAACACACACAAGAGTATTAAGCAAGAACCAAAAAACATTAAAAAAACGCCATTTTTAGTCTGGAAAATGAAAATATGTCAACAAAAAGTCCAGAATTGGGAGTCATTCCAAGTATCATCGACCATAAGTTCTCCTCTCAACCAGCTCGTGCAAAAACCTTAGTGTATTTAATGAAGCCATGTCGAAAACTTCAACCGAATCAGTTTTAAATCCACAATCTTAACACTGCATCTGTTTTTGTTGTGTGTTTTCTTCTACATATTTAAGACATTTCTGCCACAAATCGATGCAGAAAAGGAACAAACTGGATGTAAAACCTACATCCATGACTGCTGATGTTCTTCAGAGGGAGTCCACCTGGAAAGACAAAGCAGATTCTGCAGACAGAAAATGCAGAAACAAACCGATTTAATTCACTACTATCCATGTGACGCGTTAAGAAAAGGGTCGGATCCTCTTCCTTGTTAATAGCTCATTTATTTAATTCATCGTTTCACAAAAGCAACACATGACGTGTACTGCAGATCGAGTTTAAGGTAAAGAGTCGCCACCAGAAAACTACAGTCTGTGCAAAATAGTGCATTTTCATAGAGATACAAGGCGAGCAGAGAAAAGACAGGACAGGTCAGCGTTTCCAACCTCTGCAGCCCAGATTTAAAGAAGAAAAAAAAACAAAAACGAGGAAACGGCTCAACCGAATCCACCTTTTTGCTTCAGTTAATTCAGTTCAGGTTTGCATCGTTTCATACTCTCTGATTTAGACGTAAACAGTCTGATATCGCACAGAAGAGCAGTTTAAAATGTCTCCGTGCCACCTTTATTTATTTTGGTTCAATTTGAGAAAAGCTGCAAGTAAACGATCGCCGAGAAGCTCTGGAGCAGGAGGTAGAAACGCTGGGAGGTAGAGAGGACGAGTAGAAAGAAGCACAAGCACATGTTTGTCCCGTTGTCCATAAATATGAACAGCAAGCTTCAGGTCGGTGTGGCGGACAGGCACGCTGTTCAACATCAGTGATGGCTTTGAAGGAAACCGCCGCAGGCTTCATGCTTTTCTCTGCAAATGGCAACAAGCTGCAGGTCTGTCGAGTCCATTTTCATGTATTTTAAGGTAAAGTTTACAGCACAAAACAGCGTCATGCAGACAACAAACGAGGAAGACACGGTCGAATATCCATGCTGCGTTTGAGACATGTCAGAAAATCAGGAATTCAGACACAAACATTTGCTTTCCCAGGAGCAGAAAACAGATTCTGATGTGAAACACAGACATGCCATCGCTCCTAATGCTTTACCAAGTGGGGTAATAAAACTTTAATTAGCTCTCCGTTCCTGTAAATGTCCTGAACCTGCACTAATAGTTCAGTTTTTGACCATTTGGGTGCAGCAGAAACAAACTACAAACTCAAAATTCTCACATTGTTTTTCAAATAAAGCAAAGAGTTGATTATTTACACATTAAACAACATTATCCACACAGTGAAGTTGTGTTTCTGTGCATCTGGTGACTTTAAAGCCAGTATTTACTCTCTTTTAGCTCCGTTTTTGGTCTCCACCACCTCCTAACAACAACATAAAACTGTTTAGGAGCTAAATTCTGCTAAAAACTGTGTCTTTCTGCCAGTAATAAGGCTTCTTCTCTGAAACAGCTGCCTTTGTGTGGAAAAACCCCCCACACAAGATCAATAAGCAAGACCCAAAACAGTAAAGTTTAAATCTGGGCGGCTAAACAATGAGCTGTTAAATTAACGTGGTTAATGATCATATAGAACTAAAACTCAATTAATTGATTTCTACTACGTGTTTTCCACCTCTACACAGTATTTTAGCAACTTTAACTTCAATGATTTGATATTTTCTGTCAGCTAAAGAGCCAGGATTTGTTCTCGGTATCCGGTGGAGGAGACCAAACATGGAGCTAAAAGAGAACAGATACTGGATTTATGGACGTCACGGTAGCTAGTCGATGCAATTTTTTTTTTCTCTAGAAAATGTTAAAGTACTTGTTTATGGCTATGAAACAACGTCCCGCCCACAGCGCCATCTGATTGGTTACATGACGTGAGCAACAGCCAATCAACAATGAAGGATGTTGGTCAACCGCTAATGTTGTTTTTTTAATAGTTTATGTTGAAATACAGATTTGAATTTACTTCTACCTATATTTATATATTTCTAGCAAACTTCAGAGAACTTAAATGTATATTAGAGTTTTTTTTACAGAATCTTAATGTACATTTTAGCATTTCTGCTGCTGGGACGAGGACTGCCAAGCTAATTTCTGCTGTATTTTAAGTCATAAACACGTTTGAATGATTAATTCTGTCGTATTAGATTTGATATTCAGTGGAACCAAATGTCTTCACTGGAACAAAAACATGATTGCGCCGTATTTGTTGGCTGCGTAAACAGGCGACAGCTTTGCGTTAATTCACCTTATTTCCATTTAAACTTGGCAGAAACAATCTCTGGTAAACAAACAGATGTAAACAACAACTAGCTGGTAGAACTAGTGGAACATTTAGCAGCTGACGATTCGGATATTTTGCTCCAGAGATGGTGGAGACCAAAAACGGAGCAAAAAAAAGTGGGATGTTGCGTTTTCTGCTTGTTCTGCTGCCCCCTAGTGGCCAAAAAATAAATAAATAAATCACCAAATGCAGCTTTAAATGTGCAAAATAGCGCCGATGTTATCTACGAGCTGCGAGGATTTCCTCTTTCTGACGTCGTGTTAAACATTTTAATAAACACATCATGCATGAATCTGAGGCTTCTGTCGTCCAGAAGCTTCATCTGAATGTTCTCACAGACTCCTGGAGAAAACTCGACTTTTGCACAGTTTTGATTATTTTTTCTGCCAGTCTGAAGGCAAATATGCGGTTTATTACATGTGGATCTTGCATATAAACTGATTCTTTTTCAAACTAAAGTGGTTCTATCCAGGAAATGAGAGGAAACCTGTGGACTAGAGCTCCATGGCGGACTGCAAAGACCACGTTAGAGAACAAAGACAGGTCACTTGAGGCTTAGAATCCACAGTATGAGGAATGTAGATGAACTGCTTTAACGTCAGTCTTTGGCACTTGTGATTTCCTGGTTGACATAAATATTAAAAGCAGAGGTATGAGAGATAATAATAAAAAAAGAAGAAAAAGGAAAAAGAATCGATGCTGCTCTTCATCCTCGGCTGCTTTTATGTATTTAGTGTCTTCTCTCAGGAGAGTCAGAGCTGCGTTCGCCGGCCTCGGACGTTGCATAGTGTTGTTGGAGGCCGTGGGGTCTCGGCGGGGGTCACTTCCTTCACCACTTCTTCTTCTTCTTTGTAAACATGACGCCCAGATTTTCAGGCACCGTGGAGTTCGTCACCGTGTTCGTAGGAGTGGAAGGAGCATCCACGTTTCCCCCGTTTGTACATTTAGTCCACTCGTGTGTGCAAAGCGCTTCTGGAGGCGACGCTGCTTCGAAAACAGCCGACGAGAACAGAACTGCAGCAGCAAGTCTAGAAGTGGAGGCAGAGTTGGGTTTTCTAGTTCGAATCTTCAGGTCACGGAGCAGCTAAACACTGGTTTCTCTGAGAGATGATTGACTGAAGGTTGATTAGTCGGAATTAATCAAATTATCGCTTTTCAAGACGAAGAGAAAAACTTGTTCTTGGTCTTACAGGGCTGCAAATGTTGGAGCTTCAGTTGTTGGTTGGAGAAAACAAGCTGCTGGTCTACTGAGCCAAACATTAATAATCAATAACAGAAGTGATCCCACCGTCCTGATGATATTTGCTGAATCTTGATGTAAAAAAATATCTTGTCGACTGTTTGATTAAAAAAAAAAATCATCAATTTGTGAGTCAAAAACAGGTTCAAAGCTACTTTTCCCCACGTTTTGTTGTTCATGCAGATGTTTCAAACAGTCTTGCAGGATTCTGTAAATACCATCAGAACGGCGTTCAGAGAACCTGCTGGTTATCTACTGTAACGTGATGTTTTCAGCCCTGAGTTTAGCCTGACAGGCAGCGCTCCCTCTGCTACGAGACAATCCGTTGAACTTGTGCTTTTTAAAGTAATTTCAGAAGCCGCCACTCGTCTGTTTCACAGAGCAGATCCACGTCTGTTCTACAAAACTCGGCGTGACACGATTTTGATCAAATAAATGCGATGAAGTCGATAAAGTGGACGTTTTCCTGTAAAAACTGCTTCTAGCTGCTGATGCATAACGTTTGCTGCTGAATCGGTTCAGTCACATCAGGAGCTAGAAGAGCAGATAAAGTAAACTCCAGGTTAACGGATTTTAGATTAAACAACCAAAAATAACGACTTAATTTAAAGTCAGCGACAAAATCTGACGTATCGAACGCAGCAGACGAGCTGCAGTGTGAAGAACCCGTAAAGTCAGTGTTTAATTTACACTCAGAGAGTCATAGATGCCCTCCATCACGATAGTTTCAACTATGCTGGAAGTTAGTTATACACTAGTGTGCGTTGTTGTCTGATAATCCTAGCTTAGCATCGTTAGCATGAGCCTCAGCTTGCTAGCTAAACCCGACCACCACCAGACACCGTTCATTCTGCAGATTTCATTAACATGACGGCCACAGTTAGACATCAGGGAGGTGCAGCAAACACACCTGGAGCTCACTCAACAGCAAGAGGCTCCACCTGGTGGCGCAACCAGGTACTACAGCTGATCGACAACATGTCTTCCATCATCCTTCTGTCTTGTCTGTTAAATTCTTATTATTTGATTAACAGTTAATCATTAGCGCCCCTCGTTAAGGTGCTAGAAATCTGGACTGCAGCCGTCGTGTGATTTGACAGGAGTCTAAATTCAGGGCTAAAAACCTCACAGCTGCTGGTTAACGAGCGACCGCGAGTCACTGGTGACGATACGAGTAAAGACGTGAACGTAGTCGTTTGTTAAAGAGTAAAAACATGAAAACAACTTCAGCTGTGCAGTTCTGTTCAGCAGCTCGGACCTCCAGAACGGCGCCAGGTTCAGCCACCTGACCGACACACGAGCGCTTCCACGAGTCCGTCCCGCTCAGGTCCAGACCTCCATCGGCACCATGGCCTCCTTGGAGCCGATGGGAGGCAGCAGGTTCTGCTCGCACAGGAACTGCAGAGGGAACTGGACCAGGAAGCCGCGGATCTTCTTGAGCTCCTCGTGAGCCCGCGGCAGGTCCTCCTTGTCCAGGCCCGGCTTGGCCAGGTAGCCCTCCAGCTCCAGGATGTTACGGACGTCGCTGGACGGCAGACAGCGGAAAACCTGAAGGAGCCGAGGGAAGGAAAACGGGTCTGGTGTCAAGAACTGAACCCAAACATGGTTCCAACACATTAGAAGAGATGACTTTTAAATCTGTTCTGCTGTTTTTTGGATCCATTATGAAGCGTTTATGACTGAACATCGACCTACAGTGTGTATATAGTGTGTTCAGCTACACGTTTTATAATAAGGCTTCTGGTTCCTATTAAATAGAGCAGAGGAGACCAAGACTTAATAGAAATGTATTAAAATTAAGATAATAGTTTTAAAAAAGAAAAAGAAATTAAATACTTACACAGGGTCAGAAATAATAAAACTATGATTCAAAGATTAAAGAATAAATAAAAATTAAATTGCTAACAAAAAAATTGGCTATAGCTCTGATCTCCATTAAATACAGCAGAGGAAACCAAAACTTGGATAAAATAATATTTAAAAAATAAATGAAGTAACTACACAGGGTCAGAAACAATAAAATTATTTTTCAATCTTGAAAAATAAATTTAAAACTTGAATTAAATTGATAATTAAAAATACTGGCTTTGGCTCTGATCTCCATTAAATACATCAGAGAAAACCAAAACTTAATTAAAATAATATTTAGAAAATAAATGATGTAATTGCACAGGGTCAGAAATACAAAACTATTTTTTTCAGATTAAAAACTTGAATTAAATTGGTAAATAAAAAGGCTTCAGCCAGCAGAGGACACCAAACCCTAACAATATAAATGAGGACACTGATTCAAATTTAAATTATGTTTGGAAAATATGAAAATAATAGAAATGACACAGGGTCCAAAACAATAATCATAATTTCTTAAAAACAGAAAAACTATAAATTGAATCGCTGATTGAGAAGCTGAACCGTGGCTCCATTTACAGTTAATAAGTGATTCATCGATTTGTTGTTCCGTCTGTTCGTTCTAATCAACTGACAGAAAAATGTTCAACACAGTTTTGCAGAACCATAAATAAACTCTTCAAACTGCTTCTGTGTGACCCAAAAATATAAAAGTTTTAGTTTTATCAGTGCGTTTGCTTTCCATGATGGATTTAATCCGGTTTCTGTTGTTGTCTGTCCTCTAACATGTTCATCACTTCAGTCTGGTTGCTTTAAAACATCACAGATCGTTTGATTATTATTATTATTTTCATCTTTGACAGACAAATACGTGGAACTGCGGCCGCGTTAACTAAAAATGACAACAAACAAGCAACCAGGAAGCTCAAAGTAAAACCAAATGCTGTGTTCATCCCTCCTCCTGTGCTCTCATTGGTCACTTTAACCTCCTCCTGTGCTCTCATTGGTCACTTTAACCTCCTCCTGTGTTCCTGATGAAGCTGATGGAAGCATCACGGACTGACCTTCTGGTAGATGGTGGCGTTGCGAGCGCAGGTGGCCATCCAGACCTCCTTGTAGAACTGATCGCTGATCGGATCCGACACGTCGATGGAGGGGTCAGTGTGGGCGCCGAGGATGGTCCTGAACAGACGATAAATAAGGACGACTGGAATCAGACGAGTGACCTCACCGAGTAGAAAACTGGCTTCACTTTGACGTGAAGGAAGTTTTGTTTGGTGCATATTGACCATAAATCCACATGAAGAGGCTTAAAAGGAGCAAAGCTGCAGCAGTTCTGAGTGAATAAGTCAAATAAACACTAAAAAAATGACAAAAACGTCACAAAAAAGTCTCATGTTTACCTTCAGTTAGTACAGAAAGTGAAACTAGCTGCCCAGGAGACATTTTAGTTCATCGATCATCAGAGTTACATCAAATAAAAGCTGCAATCAGCGCAGAAGAGATTCAGTTTCACTTCATTAAACAACCGATGGATTGTTTCTGAGACGCTCTGATTCCAAAACCTCGTGTTTCCTTGACATCAATAAAGACAGAAACAAAAACTGATGCAGGAAAGGAGCAGATTGATGCTTAAGGCTTCCTCCTGATGATGTCCGTACCTGAAGCACTCCAGGCGGAGCTCCAGAGCGTACCGTCCCGCCTCGTACTGCTGCCCGTCCATCACCGAGGCAACCGTCTCCGAGTCCTCCACGATCACGGCCACCTCGCTGTCTCTCTTCCCCAGCATGCTGCGGTCGTTGATGTTGGCCGAGCCTGCAGAGGAACGCAGCGACAGGTGAGAAGGACGGT